ATAAATTGGGCTCTAAGCTTTCTTGGGCCGGCCTTATCCAAGCTAACCGCTCAGGCCGGTCCACCGAGTTATTTTTGGTGCTACATCAGTTCTGATTTTACAAATTCTTTATATAATACTTTTCCATTTCTAATTCTATCATTTTCACTTTTCTTTTTTATTTTATAAAATGTCGAGTTCTTGTGATGGTGGTTGTGGTGGTCGTGACGGTGATCGGCCACCACAAAAGCGTAAAAATGTAGGCGAATTGTCTTCAAGTAGACCTCCATTGCCAATGTTGAAACATAGGGTATACTGGGACGTTCCCGGTCTTCCCGATGACGTTGAGTTCGAAACGTCCAACACATCTTTCACTCTATTAAGAGAATTCACAAGAGCTTACAGTTCGAGGAGAACGAGGAGAACCATATGAAATCAGAGATATTTGCACGACACTTCAAGAAGGTGCTCAATGAGAAAAAATAGTGACAAGTATTTTATATGTATTTGCAATCATTGTCCGCTCAACTCAAGAAGAAGAAGTACGCTTTCTGGTATTTACTATCATATTGCTCAACTTGTTGTAAGTTAATGTATAGCCGTAATATGGGCTTTTAGAGAAATTTTTGCTATTGATCTTGACAAAAACGACGAACTTGTAAGAGATATGTTAAGAAAACCATCATTACGTGAAAATGACTCGGTCAACCAACTTCACACATAATATGATAATTCATATCAACTTTTACGTCCCACTGATGTTATCAGTGTAAGACCTAATCCACGACAGTTCGTTGATCAAACGAAACTTTAATTGTACGAATTGTTTATAGAAACAACAATAGGACTCAGGGAAAATCCGTCTTCATTTGCTTCTAATGCTTCTGAGTCTTCTTCTTATGGGCAATGGAGACAGACGATGTAGGAAGCCGAAAAATTGGTGACTAGTGGGAGATAAATTTTAGTCCCTATAAAAATGCTCAGATCCAAAGGGTAAAGGAGACTGGATACAGTGAGCTCGATCACTACCTCACGACTAATTTGATGCTTATGATTGCTCGTGAACATGTTCAGCTACAAAAATTCGACGTATTGGATTGGACGTCAAAGACAACTCTCATTAATCATATTAAATGCTTGATGGCCAAGGAGATTTTGTTGTCCTAGCCTCAACAGTTGCGGTTGAACAAACATTCAACAAGAGAGGATATGCACTGGACGCACGGCGGTCGAGGTTGACACTAGAAAACCTGGAGGCTCAATTCTACTGAGTGACTGGAAGAAGCCTGAATGAGAGCACAAAAAGTAATGCTAACTGTCGAAGATGATGATGAAGATGAGACATCCAATTTCACTGGTACTGTTAGTACTAGTGGAACCGCCGGAAATGAATAGGACTACAAGACCTACGACTACAATTACTACGGTTAGTACTAGTGAAACCGCTAGAAATGAAGAGGACTACAAGACCTACGACTACAATTACTAGACCGATGGTTCAATCCTGCTACTTTCATCAAGGTAAGTAAAGTAAGAAAACTACGAGAACTTTGATTCCCAAGGTATTGATACATAGGTAACTTAATTGACATATTACAAGTTAAAATATGATTTTCTAACCTAAAAAATTCTTCAACTTAAATAGTACTCTAACTTATAATATGTCAACTAAACCCAAATCCAATTTCTTTAAACCCACCCCCTCCCTCATTTTTTTTTTTTAAATTAAAACCGGCCCGGGTCGGAATCGGTTGAACATGCCGAACTAGCCTAAAACCGGGTTGAACTGGTCCCAAACAATCGGTGGCCCGGAATTTCCAATTTGGCAAACTGGCCCGTGCATATGTTCTCCGGTTTAGTTTCCCCCAAACGATGAAAGTTACCTACTTATAAAAAATTGCATTGCAATTTTTTTTTCCTTTAAAATACTTATCTACAATAAATATTATTTTTTCATTTTATTAAGTAATTTTTCTCTAATATTTGTTAATTGGCATGGGTGTCATAAATTAAACACCTTAAAATCACATAAACATTTACTATAACAATAATAAAAATTATTGTAATACTTTTTTAACTAATTAATTGTATGGTCCCTCTAAATTTCAAAATTGTCCATTAAAATTTATGTCATCAACATGAAGATTCATACGTAACGTAAGTAATTTATATTTTCTATTTTATATTTGCATATAGTCAAAATTTTAAAATGCAATGCAACTATTATCTAATTTAAAATTTTAAATATTGTATCCATACATATAATATGTGAATTTTTTTTGACTATGTGCATGTGCACAAAACGAGTACTAGTACATCTCTAAGTTTATATGCCTTTAAATTTAAGATTTATTAAACTGAATCAAATTTATTTGGTAAGTTATTGCCTTGATGAACATAAACTGTTTAATTTTTATTAACTTCTGGGGACTTGAAGTTGAAAGTTGGGGTTTCTATGTCTCATAGTCGAAAAAAAAAAAAGAATA